GTGTTAAATGTTCTCTGATATCCGCCGGTAATTTGAATTAATTGAATCAGTGGTAAAGCTCCACTCAGCTGCCGACTGGGGGAAATAATATATTCATCTTCTGAAGTCCTGCCAGTCATTTAGTTTATTTACTGAAACCACCTTCTGCTCAGTCTGTTTGGTTTTATTACAGTTACCTTCTTTTTATCCACAAACTCACAGAATCAGTTTCATAAAATCAAATCAAATAACTGATATTTTAATTAAATAATGACTTGTTTAGATGTTTTATATTTTACAGCAGTCACGACATGTTTCAACTGGTCAGCAGTCAGAGGGAGAAACAAAACTTCAGTCTTCAGTCTCAAAGATCTTTATTAACAATCAGTAATCAATAAGCTTTGCTGTCTTAAGTTACCTGTAGAGACCTGAGGGAGGAGAGGGGGCAGAGCCTCTGTGCTCATCACAGCTCTACCATCCAATCACAATCAATGGGAGGGGCTTAGGTTTGTATAACAAAGTATATAATCACCAAGTCAACCCATTCTCATGCCAAAGTTGTCAAATACCACCACTCGGTCATTGATAACTGCATCAGACACAAACAAAAAACTGGCATCGTTTCGTGGCGTTGAAATACGCCATCAGACGACGACAACATTTAGGGATGTGGACAGTCTGAATAGGGCGGTGGGAGGGGCCAGCAACACCAGAGTTTTACCCAGGAGCCCACAGTTCGCTTCCCATACGAATGTTGAGCCAAACCATGATGGGTTTTTGGGTTTGTTTTTTTTAAAGCTAACCACGAGGAAATAAACGCTGTTATGAGGTGTTTTAGCGATGTTGTAGGTTTATTTTGAAAAAGTAACATTTCCTTTGAAAACAGAAGTTTATTTTGAAAAGACACAGTTCACCAGGTGTAAAGTGACATGGTGTCCCAGAACGTCAACATCAGATGCAGGAGGAAACCTGACACGTCTGATGTTGATGTGAAAGTCGACTGAACGAGTGGTGACATGTGACAACCTGAACCATGAGTCCAAACCTGCAGTTCCTTTGATGTCCACTAGAGTGCATCCCCACAGACCTCCATGTTCACATGTAGCAATCAACATGTTTACAGCCTCTCTGGTCTCTGGAGATCATTTCAACATGTTTATACAACTCACCTGTTTACATGTTATTACAGTTACACGTCACAAAGGGGGCGGGGCCTCTCTGACTGACAGGCTGTCTGCTGATAGTGTCCTCCGCTTCTCAGTCAGGTCCACCCCTTGCTCCTCCACAGCTCCACCCTCTCATCCAAATATGGTCACTTCTGGCCACAAAAAAACAAGATGGCTACTCGAGGCTTCAGAACAGGCGTCTGTGATGTCACAGCGGCTTCGCCCATTATTTTACACAAACTGTGATGGTGAGTTTCGTCTCCTCCATTCGTCTGAAAGGTCGACGAGTTCACCGTTAATCACACAATCCGTCCTGTCAATATTAGCTCTGTGTGTGTGTGTGTGTGTGTGTGTGTGAGCAGATTACAGCTGAGCTTCATGACTCTGAAACAATTACTGATATCAGGTAAAACAAACAAACACACACACACACACACACACACACACACACACCTTCCTCATCACGACCACAGACAGAGGAAACAATACTGTGTGATAAACTGTGTGTGTGTATTATTGATAGATGAACACACACACACAGAATATATAGTTGTCATTATCTCACTAATGGATGCTTGGCTGTGATCACAACACACACACACACACACACACACACACACACACACAGTAGATGTTTCCTGTATCAGTCTTCAGTCTCAGTATTTGAAGTATTTGATGCAGTAATAATATTTACAATCATCATGTGTATCAATAGGTATTGTGTGTATTGTGTGTGTTGTGTGTATTGTATGTGTTGTGTTTAGTAGTGTCAGATGTTTGTGTCAAAATGTTCAGTCAGAGGTTTTTGTGTCAGGAGGTGACGAGACTGCTCATAATGACGCTGTTACTGCACCTGCTAATACAAATAACTCCACCATCACCACCACCCATACTGCTGCTGCTGCTTCTACTAATACCACCACCATCACTCCATCACTGCTACACCTGCTAATACTAATAACTCCACCATCACCACCACCCATACCGCTGCTGCTGCTGCTTCTACTAATACCACCACCATCACTCCATCACTGCTACACCTGCTAATACTAATAACTCCACCATCACTACCACCCATACCGCTGCTGCTTCAACACCTGCTAATACCACCACCATTACTCAATCACCACTATCACTGCTGCTGCTGACAACAAAACAAAGATAATAAAAATATATAAAAACAAAGAGGAATAAACAAGTTTTTTCTGCCCAGAGCTACAAAACAAACATTGAGATATTAAATGGATTATTTGAATATTGATTATTAATAATTGATCACTTCAGCTCTGTTTTGGGACACACACACACACACACACACACACACACACACACACAAAACACACACACACTTAACGGGGAGGCGGCTCTTTGATCTGAAAGCGGCTCCATTTACCGGAGCTTTAATCGGTTTGTACCGAAAGACAGAGACAGAGAGACAGGGAAGGAGAGGAGGGGAGACACACAGTGTGAGACACAGTGAGACAGAGACAGGGAGACAGACACTGGGAGTGAGACAGAGGGAATGAGACAGAGTAGGGGAGGAGAGATTCCGTGACCGGATCGCGGCTCTGCTGCACGCGGACTCCGGTATTTTTCTACCTACAGGCGTCGCATCGTCCGCTGCCGCCGTGACACCAGCGGTCTGTCTGTCTGTCTGTCTGTCTGTTGGTATGTGAACGTCACTGTTGCTCCTCGTCGCTCCCGGTGTGCTTATACTTTCACCTTTACCGGATGGGAGGATGATCTGCGGACCTGAGTGAAGACCTCTGAGAGCTGCAGCTTAAGGCGCGAGCCCGACGTCCAGGACGTGACCGGACCGGACCGCCGGTCTGAGGAGCAGTTAACCGGGACAGAGGCTGGGTAGCTCTGCAGGTCGGTAGGTGACACACACCGGATTTCAACCCGTTAACTGACCCGTTACAAACCCGTGATCTTGTTAGCGAGCTGCAGACGCTGCATCATCATCAGGACCGATCCTGACAGCTGAAACCATCCTGCATGTTTGTGTTTATTCAGAGATGTTATTTATTGTTTTCATTTAATGGCGGGGTTAAATAAAAATTAAAGTGTAATTGAAACTGTAGATCAGATATCAGAGATAGGCTATATATTAACATTCAACTGGACTTTAATGTGAGACTCTTTTAATACTTTTATAATTATTATCCTGTTAATATTAATTATTAAATGATTAGCCTGTATAATTAATATTTTATTTATTAATAGTTTACTTTTCAAGTTCCTTTGTAAAATTATTCTGATCCATTTAAATAAAATCTGTCAGGTCTGAATTTTGTTAAATGTTCTTCAGATAAGTTTTTACTGTTTATTTTTTATATTAATTATTTCTCCTGTGATTTTACGGTGTTTGTATCTGTAACTGCTCCCTAACCCTTTTACATTATTGTGTGTTTATTTTAAGTTCTAATCATGGTTTCAAAAGGTGCGGCTGAAATAAGGTTTACACCAGTTTCACTGTTACTGCTTCAATAACACAAATTATAATAATTATAAGTTATAATATTTTTTATTTTGAATCATCATCAGGGAGCCCATAAAAATGAACATGATCTTTACACACAGACACAAGATAAGAGGACCTAGAGGAGAACCTTGAGGTGCACCAGCATCTAGTGGAGTCTGGGCTGATCTGGTTCTGAGGAAGATTCAATAGGACACTGAAATCTTCACTGAGGAGAGCAACTAGGAGATGTCACCATGATCAACAGTTCACGTTCTACAAAGTTCATTACTGGGAAAACCCATTCTCACTCTGATGTCATCAAATAGCCAGACTTGGTCAGCGACCTCTGGCATCAGAGACAGGCGAAAAAATGTGTCCTTTCATGTCAGCATGAAACACAACCAGTCACCATTATTGTTTAACCGTGCCTTGTGGCGTCAGATGGAAACACAGCTAGACAACAACACAAGTTAAGGGGGCGGAAAGTCCAAGTATGGCAGGTGGGAGGGGTGGTGGATGGGTCCAACAATCACTGACTTTCACCCAGGAGGCCGGTGTTCACTTCCTGTAAGCCAAACCGTGTTCTTTTTTCCTAAACCCAACCGTGTGTGTGTGTCGGCTAAACGTAACCACGTGTGTGTGTTGTTGTACCAACGTAGTGCTTTTATTTTGACAGAGACTGTATGCAAACTGTACATTTCCTGTGAAAACAGAAGTGTATTTTGAAAACAGACAATGCATGTAACAGGCTGAAGTTGACACAGCGTCCCAGAACGTCAACAACCAACACACCCAGTGTACCTTGGACGTCATATGTGGACGTGGAAAGTCCATGACCAAACGTGGACATGTGACGAGGTCACAGTGAGGATGAGCTGTCTGGGCAGAGATGATGAGTTGTTAAACTTGGAACAGAGGGTGGAACAGAGAGATCAACAGGTGATGGTGTTTGGTTTGTAAACATGAACTGAAGCAGGCCGAAGTGAGACCACAGGAGCAGAAACTGAAGACAAATCATTATTTTGTTTTTGATGTTACAACAAATAAACTTCTTCTGATTATCCTTTTCCACCCAACATGGACTGGTTCCATTCTGGTTCCTGTACATACTTTTGGTTCAGAACCTGAAAAGATGGTTCTCTGCTGGAAGCAGTGTAAACCATGATGACATCAGAGGGTGTGTCAGATTCTACAGGTTAGAAAGAAACTGGAACTCTGAGAAATCATTGGGGAAAACAGAGTGTGCAGTTTGTTCAGGGTCAGGGTTCCTTTTTAAGGGTGGAAACAGATATCTGTCATAACTCAACAAAAGTTCACTGGAAATCAATGTAACGCCCTCCGTCAGTGACACATCTTTGATTAGAATTATTCTGATCAAAACTGGTGGAAACATGGCTGGTTTGCTGGATAGCATCAAGGTTCCAAGAATCCTAAACGGAACCGGCTCAAGAACCAGAGCTGATCTGGTGAAAAAGTGGTGTTACTGATGAACAGTTACCTTTCAAACCCTGATCCATCTCGTCAGAGGAAACTGTCAGATTCAATTAACAATGTAAATAACATCAGGGACCTGTCAGCGAAACCAGTGGAACCAGCAGAACCAGCCGAACCAGTGGAGCCAGCAGAACCAGCAGAAATAGCAGAAACAGCCGAACCAGTGAAACCAGCAGAACCAGCCGAACCAGTGGAACCAGCAGAAACAGCAAATAGAACCAATGAAACCACTTCCTCAGTGACAGATGTGATGAGGGTCTTAATTGACCCTTTGTTAAGTCCCACCCCTCAGATTTAGACTGGTCAATCACAGTGTGACATTGGCAGCTCTGACAAGGGTCTGACAATAACATGGCCGACCTCCATCAGCTCTCAGGCTGTCGTTTGAGATTTCCTGGAGCTTGTCATGTACTGATCATACTTGTTTCCTGGAGCACGTCGTTTGTTCATGATACTCATTACCTGGAGTTCGTTGTGTACTGATGATACTGGTTACCTGTGTTAGGGTCAGTCTTCGTCTGTTTAACCGGTATCTGTTGCTGAGTCAGTTTGACTTGCTGTTATATGTTTTTAAAACATGTTGTAAAACCGTCCGACTGCTTCTCTCTGACAGCATGATGGACCATTACAAAGGGGCGGGACTTAGTGACGGATCAACTCTAGTTGGTTGGTCAGGTGATTGATTTGATGAGACAGGTAATCTATCTGATCAATAGTTCTTCCTGTTTGGTGGTGATGAACCTTTAGACCATTGAAACAAATTAAAAACACATTAAAACAAATCAGTAGAGACAACGGAGTCACACTCAAAGACCTTGTTAACCTGAGACTTCAGTTTCATATCTTGTTCTTCTTCATCAGTCTGATCAATATTCAGTATTGATGAAGATTCAGTGTGTTTCTATTGATGGTGGTGCAGATTTTAATGTATTTATTTTGCATGAATTATTGTCGGTGTTGTGGTTCAGATACAGTAATGATGAAGTGGTTATAAAGTATTGATGAGGTACTGATGTAGTATTGAAACTGTGCTGCTGTAGTTCTGATGTTTTAAACATAAGGGTGATCTTACAGCTGTTCTCAGATCAAATTCTTTCCTTTATGTCTGAATCTGTTGAATGTCACACACTTAAACGATGATCTGATCTTTTTACAGTCTTTGCAGATGTTGTTGGTTCCGATTTTTTCGGACCCAGACTGATGACTCAGCTCTGCTTAATGTGTAAAACTGTATTTTTAATAGAATTTATATTTGATTTCCAAATTTCTGCTGACTTTTTAATATTTTATTTACCACTGACTTTGATCTCTCATCGTTTCTTCATGTGACTTTCATCGTTGTGTTTCCTGCTGTGCCTCGTTTCACTTGTTTTACTTCTGTTTTACCTCCTGTGTGCAATGCATGCAGGGTAATCTCATCAATCAATCAATCAATCAATTTTATTTATAAAGCCCAATATCACAAATCACAATTTGCCTCACAGGGCTTTACAGCATACAATATCCCTCTGTCCTTATGACCCTCACAGCTGATCAGGAAAAACTCCCCAAAAAAAACCCTTTAACGGGGAAAAAAAACGGTAGAAACCTCAGGAAGAGCAACTGAGGAGGGATCCCTCTTCCAGGACGGACAGACGTGCAATAGATGTCGTACAGAACAGATCAGCATAATAAATTAACAGTAATCCGCATGACACAATGAGACAGAGAGAGAGA